GAAGTCAATAAAACTCAGACCCTTCCTAATTTCCCACTAACATTATTTCATTTGAGACACGGTATCTTCATTAGAGATATTAACTTTACTTTCAGGTACCTGCCTAAATTGGGAGGCTCTGCTCCCCCTGCAGTCAGACATAGAAAGAGGCTGCCCAGCAGATTAATCCAAAAAGCTCCACACATTCTGAAGGAAGCTTCCATCCAACTGGAAGACTTCCATTCTCTATTGAGTTTAAAAGGACAGTAGGGAAGCTCCCTTTAACTAAGGCAGCTGCACTCTTTGCCTGCAGTGTGCATGTACTTCAGTTCCAGCGCACAACAAGGAATGATGGATGACACCCTGGAATGATCTCAGTGTGGTCTCAGGGTAGTAAGCACACAAAGGGCTGGGAGAGTCAAGGTACTAAAGTAGTTTGGTTGTACAGGAGACAGACAGTGACCTAAATTGACCCTGAGAAATTTGGGATGCAGAGCTGTGAAGTTTATGTAGCAGATTTAAATCGTTTTGGGTCCATGCAACAGTTTTACCTCATGTTCTTGGGAGGCCCCAGATGCTCGATACACCAATACCTCTGTAACTTTAATTTCACCTTGAAGGGTTTCAGGCATGTATTTTAAATTCCTTATATTTACCCTTCTACACTACATCCATACAAACACATACAGCATTAACTATTTCAAGGTCCCCACAGAGAGCTCTTAGCACAGACAGAACATGGGCCAGCACACGACTGAAGCCACATGCACCATCTGCTCAAACACTTTAATGTAATTTACCAGGCAAGAGCTGAGCAGGAAAAAAAAAAAAGCTAGATAAAAAGAGATTAGATTTCCCCTAGTCCAAAATACCTCCTGCTGCTTGATATATGAACCTAATTCACCCATAACTAATATTTCATTTAAGAACATATTAAAAATTTTTTTTTAAAGTCCTGCGCCTGCAAGGTAACATTGACATAATTCCTCTGTTAACCTGCTGCCCATTGAGAACTGTCCAGACTGATAATCCTATTGCCAAAACCAAAAAGGAGTGTACTACTTAAGAACTTGAAAGTTGTTACTTCCACTCAAATTGCAATTTTGATGAACTTCAATAAATAAAGAATAAAAAGAAATATTTATTTACTGCAGCATTGAAGCCAAACAAGTTCTACATGTTAAGACTTGTATTTGGCTGAAGGTGGCAGCCCTGGGCCTAGTACTATGTGAATTTTGGGAAGAAGTCCTGCAACTGATCTGTAAAAGGGATGGATTTCAAATGGCAAAGACTTATACTTGAAGAATCAGGTTTCATAGGGAACAATCCTCCAGCTTTTTAACAAAAGCAATGATGTCAAGAACTCATTACAAACTCCTTTTGTCTTGTTCAACAGTATTAATGAAGATGTTTAGACAGTGTTAGCAATTTTTCCTCTATTAGAAATACTCACAAAATTAACAAGAAACTAGGACAACTACCTTAAATTCAGCTGGCATTTCCTCTTCCAAATCTCTACACCATTCAATACTCCTTTTAAGCTGACAATAAAAAAATAAAATTTAAAAAACCCCATAAATGAATAAAATCAGTTTATTAAGACTGTAAATATCACTGTTAATTTCTGATGTGAAAGGTAGAAAAACCTGCATACAGCAGGAAAGTTCCTCTCACTGATACCCTAAATACAGCAGCCTTCATGATTCATAATTTTAGGAAATGAGACCTTAACCTGAGCTGAGGGTTTGGCTGTGTGCCAGGATGCTTCAACATCCTCTAGCAATTAAAAGCCATCATCTGCAGCAGACATCATCCCAAAACCTTCCCTTTTTTTTCAACTCAAGGCTCATTAAAGGTCAACACTGCAAAATTAATATTAAGAATTTTAAGAAAAGGAAAAAAGAAGTCTGCAGAAGATGCAGGCAGGAGAGATCATGACTCAACATATGGATAGGCTCCCACATAGAGAGGGACTGTCTGACCAGCACTCTTTGGCTTGCAAAGAAGTCAGTGACAAGACCTACAACTGAAATCTAAACAAATATTGAGTGGCTTAAACAAGGAGAAAGAGAGAGGGAGACTCACTAACTCTTCTCGCATGACAGAAGAGCTCTAACTGTATCTCTAAGTTGCTGGTCAGAACAAGAAAGAAGCGATTCCTCATGCAAGTTAGGCAAATTAAGACATTGCAGAGAGCAAACACTTACTGGGACTGAAACATTTCAACAAATGAATGGAAGAAAATTCCACAATGACTACTGAAAGCAAAGATATCACTTTCAGCTCAGGAAAGATGCAGCTGCAGGAGCGTATCAGGGAAGGATCAGTATAGCCATGCCTCTTCTACTCACCTGTAGGCACTGGCTTGGGAAGTCATCGTGATACAGCAATGCCTTGGACTTGAGGTTGGATCTGGTATGCCACCCTTACATTATTTTATTGCATACCTCAGGAGTTAAAAATATCATGAGAAGTCTTACCAAAAAAATTACAGGATTCTCTTCTTTTTGCTGTTTGTTTGTGGGTTTGAGTTTGTTTTGGGGTGGAGAGGGAGAGTGTTTGGGTTTGGTTTTATTTTTAAATTATTTGGCTTATAGTTTGATGGTTTTTATGTAAACTTCAGTTCAGTTTACTTCCTTCCATCCTCAGCTAACATATTCTGCAACACTGAGCACTGAGAACATTGCCATTGATTTCCATCAGCAAAGGATCACACCCTAACTGCTTCCAATTTCACAGTTACTAAGCAACACTAAGTGATCACAGCCTCTGAGCAAGCAATGTCCTGTATTCAAAGGTTTGAATTGTAGAACTCCATAAAGACTTGGAACTTGGGCACCTACCAATGAACACCAGCTCTGCAAGTCTTAGATAACAAACTCTTGAAGTACAGAATTACATACCTTTGGTGCTGCTAATTGAAATTAGCTTTACTGAACCACAAAATTTCCTTGTACACTCATCATGGGCCTAAAACTGGGAGTACTTTTAATATACTCCAAAGTTTTTTTTGTATTTTGCCCAGGATTTACCAGAACAAAATCCCTTTTATTTATATTGAAATTCATACACAGCCCTCCTATTAGTTACGTATTCAGGGATACAGATGAAAAAGAAAGCACACAAAACCAGGACATTAAACACCATCAGCCTTAGGGGAATAAACAACATCATCCCTTACAATTCAGTGCATCTTTGGAGTACTGATCATTTTTTTAATTATTCATAAAAACACTGTAAAAGGATTTCTGTTTTTCCTTTAAAATAGTATCACTGGTAAAAATACTATAACTATTAGAAAATAGTAAATAACACGATGCTCTTAATTTTTTTTTTGTTGTAGGAGATTTTCCTGAATACAAACAACTCTTAAAAAATAATCAATAGCTAACTTTGCTTTAATGAAGATGATACTTGCAGCCTTTACTAAATTATGATTACTCATCTACACACCAAGACAACTGAAACCTTGTTTGCTGCTAACATGGAAAATCTGAATGGTCCAGAAGACTGTATCCATTACCCAGTGAATGACTAAGAATGAGACTAGCTGTTTTCCCTTGGAAAATCCTGATCTGGTCTAGCATTTAAAAAATGTGAAATTGCAAGGGTGAGAGAGTGCTACGGAAGCCCACGCATGAGAATGCTGCAAAATAAATAAAGTGCTGCAGAAACCTCTGGTGTTTCATGTACATCTATTCACACACTCACACAAATGTATACAGTAATTGTTTAGGGACACAGTTTAGCTCTTTTCACACCCATTAGAGGATCCTAATCATAAGAGTTGAGCAACATAAAAGCTTTTGAAGCAGAAAGCCTGGACGTTGGTGTGTTACATCTAATGGAAACAATATTACACAGAAGTCTTTCACTTCCGAGACTGATTAGAAGCTGTATTGTATTTACCACAGTATGAAGATAATAACCTGAGAGAACATTAGCATAAATCATTAATTCATTGTGGGGAAACTCTGGAAGAGGATATGTTTCTAAAAGGAAAATGATCACATTAAAATGCAAGCAAACTTTGAGGAAAACAAGCTGTGCCAAGTAAATGGTGCCAAAATTATGCAATTCATAGTTCCCATACTTGGTCTTCAATAGGAAGAATTTAGAGCACATGAAAATACAACAACAGCTTAGCAAACCAATGGGAAAAAAATCAACTGAGTGTTACATTGGCTATCTGAAAGCTTGCTGTAATTACACAGATCTTATTCCAAAAGGCTCATGTACCTAATAAATAGTACTGGAAGACACTGAACAACACTAAGCACATATAAACTGTCCTGTGCTTCCTAAGAATTGTCTATCCCCAGTAAACAAAAGAGCAAGCATGCAAAATTCTCCATCTAAAAAGTAATTAGAAAAATTAATCAATTTCTCCTCTCCTTCTTTAATAATTATGTATCAGTTTTAGAAAGCAAAATGGTCAGGTGACATTGCTCTGTAATAATTTCAATTAAAATATATGATGCTGCTTTTAATCTAATTTACAGCCTCATAGGTAACCAACCTGAGGAGAAAAGGAATAAAACAAAAGAAAAAAGCTACCCACCATTTACCCAGCGACCAAACAGCAATATGAAAGATGTCACATTCCTTTTTCTATGCTTTAGATACAGAGCAGCATTTTGATATTCCAAATACTTAGGGATATTATTTGCTATTGATACTTTTAAATCATTACTACGAATGCACTTGACATCTCTTGGGAAAATAAGAAACGCTGCACACCCGAACTTTCAGGCTCTCTTTTAAAGCTGGCATCCCTCTGTCTCCTTACTGCACACAATAAAAGGCAAGCCTTCTGTTGGCAGGCTTCAGGTCACTTGCTCAGTTGCTACCCCCAGATCACAGCATGCAGGGCTGCATTCCACCTGAGGAGTATTTGTGGCAGCTGCCAGGCAGAGATGTCTGTGCTCACCAGGCTAGAAGGGGCATTCCAGGCTGTGAAGCTGATTGCACTGGAAGGGCTTGCTAACAGAGATGTCAATGAAGTAAAGGAGTTTCAGTACCTGAGTTAACAAGCTGCTGCTCCATGACCCCACAGCCCAGGACCTCCATCCATTCTCCTTGGAAGTTGATCTCCATCTCAAAGGAAGGGTGAGTAAATGGGAAGTAGCAATCTACCCATCTGACTTGCAGTCCTGTAGCAGTGTTCAAAAAATAAATACATATGAAAGGGTGTATGCTTAAAAGGCCATCCCTCCAATCATCTGTAAAATTTGTCCTTCAACTAACAACATGAATTACAGCAATCCAGAGAAAATAAGTAGCAAACAAACTAATTTACAACACTTGTGTGAGGTGATAAATCTTAAAACCTGTGGAAAAAAAATGACCATGTCTTTTCTAATATGAAAAATGCTTTGTGCAATTCAAGCACCCTTTGAAACCAAATCAATCATTTGTCAAACTCTGGTAACCACCTGGCATCGAACAAAAATGAGCCAAGATAATGGAAAAGTCGGTAATTTTGTTATTCTTTGCACCAGGAAATGACAAACTGCTTCTCACAGGAAAAACTAGTTAAGTCTTTAATTTTTACTTAGTATTTTATGGATCGTCTAGACAAGTAATTTTTTTCATCAAAACTTAATTAAAATACAGAGCTATTCTCTCTGTATATGTTTAAAAGTGAGAGTTAAAAATGGATATTAATATACACAAATAGAAATATATTTTCACAGAGTTGTACATTATTAAGGTACGAAAGACATGCACAGAGCATTCTAGACCTGGTAGGTAAGTGTAGGGGAAAAGCCCCACTTGGCAATTCCCCACAATACCCCCCAGCTCAGCACCTCTGCAGATAGCACTGTGCAGAGCAAGCAAAGCCCCGGCATCTCAGAGCAGGGCAGCCAGAAGAGGACAAGGTCTTCCTTCCCAAGGTCTTCAGTGCTGCCTAAAGCAGAGGTGTTGTCAAAGCGCTCATTATATTTGATGAGTTTTAGTTCTTCTAATGATTTACAGATGCTTTGCTTCACTAATTTTTTTTTCCTAACCATTAGTTGTCAGGAAAGAAGTCTCAGAAACATGAGCCATAAAAACTTGATAGAGAACTGAAATACAAATTCTGTAAACTAAGCTATTGCCTTAACCCCAAACATATCTTCAATTAAGCCAAATGCTAATTAGAGTCAGGATCATTAAGAACCAGGCAGGTCCACCTTCAAAAATAGAGTTGAACCTTATTTTTGAGAGGCAAAGTTAGTGTGAGTGACAGCAACTGTTAATATTCCTGGTTTGATCTTCAGATTTTTTTGGAGATGTTTCATAAGAGGAATGTAAAACAAGAAATTTTATGATTCATACTAAAAGTTTTTAAAATAAAAATATTTAAAGTAGCCTCAAAAACTAGATCTTCATTAATTACTTCTGAAACATGAAATGTGGCTACAGAAACAATAAATTACAAAAAAGATGTATATGCATGGCCAAAACATAAAATACTTCCTAACAGTCACAGGAAACTTGTCTAGATGCCATGAGAAAGGAAATGGCAAGGCAGGTTTCAAAGTAAACAGACTGGCACTTGTAGATTTTCTCTGATTTCTTAAAAGCCAGTCTCAGGAAAGAATATGAGTAATGGAAAATCTTTTTGATAATTGTATAGACAGAACTCAGAAAACCAGAAGTATTTACAATAGTTTCATTCACAATTGTAGGGTGACAGCGATCACTTTATTGCTCCTTTTTACCTGCAAGACAATTAAAAAATACATAGATGAAAAGAGTCACGCATATACAATAATATAGTGTGCAGAAAACTTTTTTTTAATTTCCTGATCTTGGCATTTTTAATCCTTGGGCTGTGCACATATAAAATATTCTCATTTAGCTTGCAAAATTTGCAAATGCAGCAACTACTTTAAATATTCAACTAGTTTGCATTCAGTAACAACATTCAGATAATTGTTTCTTATTAATCCTCTGATTACTTAAAAAATGAAGCTCTGTTAAAAAAAGGATTTCTCAGCTGTTTGTTCCTAATTAAAATAAATTTTAAAAGGTAAAAAAAGAATTTAAAGCTCTTTTTATTTTTGAATTTTAATGCATATTAGTACTTAAGAGGCTTCTGGTTTAAATGCAAATAAGCAAACAAACAACATTCTGAATAAACCAAAACAAATTCACAATGAAGAGACAACTCTCACCTTCATTCTGTTCTCTAAATTAATAATTAATCCCACATACCGCAATACTTTTATTCATACAGTATCCAGGCCATTGGGAATACCTCTGTAGTTTATATTCAAGTGTTCTTTCAGACTTTTGGCTCTAGAAGACTTTACTGAAAAGCAGAGGGTGCCAAGCCTTTGGCAACATTAACTGCATTTCTATAGAGTGTCACAGAACAAATGGGTACATTTATTATTTAGATACAAAATATTGTCTTGGTGCTCAATTTATTCCCAAGGAGTAAAGGGCATCGCTTACACTCAGCAAATTAAACCACTTAGGACTCTAAAGGATTATAATGATTAGGCTTCCTGTAGTAGTATGTAATTTTCCTGATTTGGCCTAGTCTATTTCTTCACATACAGACTATGAAATACTGGCAAAATTGATCTTTTCTAGAAATTTTAGGAGGCCAAGAGATACATATCTCTCTTAAAACAAGCACTCACAAGAGCACACTGCTGAATCTAATCAAGGCCTGACCACTAGACACAAACTTTCCTGTTCAAAGAAATTATTTGTGTTATCAGACATACACACACCTGCTCATTTCAGAGCCTCACAGGGCTCATGAGAGTCCTTCCAGTGGGTAGAGGTCCATTCATAACTGTGCTGGGCTGAACACCAGGATCCCAGCAAAGCTGCTCTACCTCTGCCCTCCTCAACTGGACCAGAGGTAGGAAATTTAATGAAAGGCTCATGGTCAACATGAGGGCAGGAAGAGATAACCCAGCAATTACAGTCATGGGCAAAACAGACTTGACTTGGGGAAAGCAGTGCCATTTATTACCAATAAAATCAGAGCAGGATAACGTGAAATAGAAACTAAACCTTGAAAACAACTTCCCGCATCCCTCCCTTCTTCCAGGCTCAACTCTACTCCCAAAATCTCTACCTCCTACTCACCAGCAGTGGGGATGGGGAATGGGGACTGTGATCAGCTCATCCCTCATTTTCTCTGCTACTTTTCCCCTGCTCCAGGGTCGTGTCATGCCCACCAAAGACAATCCTTCATTAATTGCACCAGCATGAGACCCTTCCACAGCACACAGTCCTTCAGGAACCTCCTGCTCCAGCATGGGTCTGTCCACAGGGCCACAGGTCCTGCCAGAAGCCTGCTCCAGCACAGGGTTCCAGCCTTCTTTGGGACTCTACCTGCTCTAGCATGGGGTCCTCTATGGGCTGCAGGTGGACCTCTGTATCTCCACGGACCTCCATGGGCTGGAGGGGCACAGCTGTTTCACCGTGGGCTGCAGGGGAATCTCAGCTCAGGCACCTGGAGCACCTCCTCTCCCTCCTTCTCCATTGACCTTGTGTCTCAGCCAAGGTATCTGAAGGGCTGCTCCTCACACATGTTCTCATGCACCTCCCTGGCTGCAAATTGTGCAGGATTTTTTCTTGTCCCTTTTAAAGTGAGTTATCCCAGAGGTGCTACTGCCATCCCCGATGGGCTCAGCTTTGGCCAGCAGTGGGTCCACCCTGGAGCTGGCTGGCACTGGCTCTGTCAGACATGGAGCAAACATCTGGCAGCTCCTCACAGAAGCCACCCCTGAAGCCTCCCTGCTACCAAAACCTTGCCATGCAAACCCAATACAGTAACTTATATGTCAGATCAGTATGGAAATAGTGAATAATTGCTGTTATTTCTGAACACTGAATCCAGGTAAAGAATTGGTCATAGCCTGCACTCAAAAGTAATGGTGTTATTAGATATTAAGCTAAACAAGTGCTAGCCTAATTGAGTCTCATAATGAAAAAGGCTTGACCAAAGGCACTAAAAAGAAAGAAAAGAAAAAAGAACAAATCAAACACATTAAAGCAGGCTATTACTACACTACAGCACAGAAGCAACAAAGCCTGAGACCCAGATGGTCTTCACTGACCAGAAATTCTCTTTGTTGCTGTGAGGATTATTTTTAGAGACAAGGTTATGGAAGAAAAAGGAGAGGGGTGCAAGGAGGGTGCTGGGAAGCACAGAAGGTATTGAACTGTGGCCTCTTGAGGTGTGTGTCAATTTGTAAGTACTCTGCACCTCATTGTTTCAGATAATTCATCACACTTGCAGCAGACAGGAGCTGGCTGTCCATATAAACCTCACATTTTTCAGAAGTTATTAGCCAGACCATTATGTCCTTTATAATTTTTTTTTAACTCATTACACCCATAGATCTCCATGCACTCAAAGAAGGTCTCAGTACAAGAGAATTAAGAAGGAGAATGAGCAGAACATGTTTGATTTAAAAGATATCCAGTGGCTGTTCAGTGAGAATCAGTGAATGCAGTGGCAAAGCCATCAGTCAAAGCACAGCATTACTCACTCTCCTGCCTTTCCTTTACCAGTGCTTAGGAACTGGGTAGATAAATATGGGATAGCAGTGAATTTTGAGCATTTCATGTAAAGCAACAAATCACAGAATCAGCACACAGTCATTATTTTCTATTTGCTATAGTAAGATTATTTCTGAATCTCCCAGAGTGCAGAGAGCTTTTGGCAAGCTACAGAGGGGTTAGAGAAAGAACCATAGTTGAAAAAGACTGGCTAATTTATAAGGAAATTTTGGACAGCCTTGTTTCTAGGTAACTAAAATGAGAACTAACAGACTACCTACACTGGCAGAGCTGTATGGGGAGATGGATGTGTAACTTAAATTAGTGGATTTTAAGTGTGCATCCTATGGAGGTAACAGAGGAAAACTAAGAAAGGTGATGTCTAGGTATAGTATTTGAAATAGCTTCCTGACAGAAAAATTGAAGAAACTGAAAGACAGTTACTTGTAGAATGCAAAACCAGGCATGTTTGTAGAATGCAAAACCATCAGAAAATGCCCTAAGAACTACTTTACATTGACAAGTTTTCAAGACAACTGATTGGATACTCCAGAACTTTCCTCCTTCCCTAACATCTGTCATTCCTTTTGTGTGCTGGCAAAGCCAGAAAGACATAAAAGGACAAAATTTTGTAATAAGGGTAAGTGCAGATTCTATGAAGTCTATGACCTCCTCAGGACAACACAGTGATTTCCACACAACTTTGTTTTGTCAATGCTGAGTTGTTCAAATAGTGTGGCAGGAGCCAGGTAGAGCCCAACTGTCTCATTAAATATTATAAAAACTAATCTAAACCACCACACACACACACAAAAAAAAAAAAAAAAAAAAAAAAAAAAAAAAAAAAGGGCAAGTAAGGCAAGTCAGTGGTATGACCATATGACCTTTCTGCAGAGATTCTGCAGAGATCCTCAATCTATCATCAACCTGAGCTGGTAAATTCCCAGAGAAGCACTGCAGAAGCACAGCTTCCAAGTCCAGGACTTCAGGTACAAGCTACCTTATGCACAACTAACATGTACAGCAGGCTCAGTCTACAATCCAAACAATCTGCCTACAATAAACAGTTGACTGTATGACAATGCAACATTTCAGTCACTTACTGCAGTTGTGCTCATGCTATCCTGCTAGAAAAGATGTGCAACTTCACTACAATATTCTGCTGACAGTTCAGGTTGTAAAGAATACAAATGATACCAAGGATAAAGGAATGAAATTTTTATGTTTAACAGAATATGGTGCCTTATGAAATACCCACATATAGGAAAAACAAACATTTTCCAAGAGCAACACATTTAAACACATTTTAAATATTAAGTTAAAATTTATAGGAGTCAAGATACAAAAAGTAATCAAGAGTACCATGTAAAGAGTAAAATGCTAGTTAAAAGATGACAGCTATCAAAAGACAAATTTATTTATGTGTGCCTCAAGACAGTTGCAGTGCACCAATCTCATATACCTCGTGCCTAACATGAGCTTTGAATACTTTGAATTCCTGTATTTCCATGGATGGGGCAGGGGGGAAATACACATATATATATACACACATACATATGTAAATTTAAATATAAAACCATATTAAATTTAATTCAAACTATATCTTGTGTTTGTATTCCAGGAAAAATGTTGGGGGTATAGAAATAGAAAACTCCAACAGTAAAAAGGTGGCATCACCTCTAGTTTGTACATTTTAAATAATTTATGAATATATTTTAATGTCTTTATAGCTAATGGGTGGACTGTATGACAACTAGTAATAGCCAACATGCTGAAGCTTAAAGTGCAGTATCTGTCAACAGTTAGAGAAGGATGCCACTGCAGTCTGAGATACCACTAATGACTCTGAGAAACTGCTCACTTTAAACATCCTCAGCATCTGAGGTTGATCTAAGTGTATCCTTTTACTGTTACCCACTTTCATCCCAATTTTGTATGTTTCAAAAGGTCACTGTTAAGTAAAATACAGCTACAAGAGGCTTTGAGCTGAGGAACTTCAAAATTTTTGTTCAGGTGGAATAGAACAGTAACTGGTAAAAGTTTTGCATGCTATAAGTTAACTTGAAAAATTCAGAAAAATATTCAGGCAGTCATATCTAGAACTTGGAATCATTATCAATCCACTCTTGTAACTACTGCTCTAAGTGCAGTAAACATCTTAAAACACCTTAGAAAGTAGGCAAGATACCTCATGCATTCTAATACCATCCAGTATTTCCTCAATAGAAAAACGAATCAGCTCAGAAGAGCAGTCTCCTCGCCAAGAAATAACATTAATGTAGCAATTTTGACTCAGGCCATTTACAAATTCAGTTCCTGAAAGTGAAAGCAGGTATTTCTGAGGAGAGCATACTTCATTCATATACACATCCATTACCCTTCCTCATTCCACTGCAAGTACCAAAAAACAATTACTGTTCAGCTTGATGTGGACGTAGCAAACACGGCCTGCCCTCAGCTGGAAGGTTTAATTTATCCACACAAGGGATGCAGCACATGGACACATGCACCCCTTCCCTGCTCCTGGTGCAGGATCTGAGTGCTGCCCAGCTGCACCCAAGCTCTCCTGCACCCCAGATGCAATGCTGCACCCATACTCCATCCCTCCAGGGACACAGGAGGCCCACAAGGACAAAGCAGAAGGGGTCCTGCAGAGCTTTGTGCTGGAACTGGAGTTGCCTCTCCTTGCAGGACCCACCCTGTGCCTTCTGCCAGACCACTGCTTGTAGCTGGGTCTCCACACGTCCCCACCTGCATTTGTGCCCACCACGTTACTCTGACACGCTGCACACCTAAACATTTTCACAAAAACCTGCTGAGTCAACAGAGGGTTGTGTGCACCAGTATTCAGGAAAACCCAGAGAGGAACGCCTGGCCTCTTGGAAAAACCCATCTGGCTATTTCGTATTACCAGCTGCCAACACAACCCCTAAGCCTCCTGTCTATGTTATGCAGCAAAATGTTTCTCCAACGCCCCAATGACTACAGGCATGAGCAATCTGGGGGAAAAGGTGCAAGAACCCACCGTCACCAAAGATGTGAGTCATGAGCTTCGTGAGCACTTGCTTCAGGTTGAACTCCACCAGCCTCACTGCCTCCATGGTGTGACACTCCTGCTTGTGTGCAGTGCGATGGCCTTGCTCAAACAGCTGTAAACCTTCACCATCTTTAATGCTGGAGAACAACTAGAACAAAACCACAAAAACACCGTGTTCTGCATCAGTCACCTTCTGAACGAAAACAGAGAATGAAGTTTCATTGATTTAAGTGGGACTCTTACCTGATAAGTCTACACTGTGAAAAACAAACAAAGACTGTGACTTTCTACAAATTCTGTTCACTAAATGCAGAGATGAATCTCTGTAAGAACAAAAATGTTCAAATAATTAAATCTGGTTTATTTCTATCATCAAATAATATTATTAGGTAAAGGAAAACAATAATTTACAAAATAAAGCACGTCTCCTTTTCTGATTCAGTTACTTTGGAAGTTACCATGCAGAACGAAGTACTCTGTACAGTGTATGTAAATTACACCCCAAAAACTACAAAACACAATGAACTCCATGGCATTTATCAGAACTTCAACTCTTTTAGTACTTGGATGATGTAAAAGAAACACCAAAACAGAAACAAAAACAGAAACACAAAACCAAAACAAATCTAACCCAACCAACCCCAAACAAAAAAGGAGGCCCAACCAAAAAAAAACCCAAACCAAAAAAACAAACAAACAAAAAAGCCCAAAACAAACTCTAGCAGTTTAATGAGACTTAAACTGTTTACAGTTGATTCATCATGGGTACAAGTTCATACTCATTTAAGGACTACCATTTTCCTGTATGTTCCTACACAGCATCTTTTTGTGAACAAGAATTTTGTCTATGGGGCTTGTAAGGATTCATGACCTCAAGAGAGGGTTTTCCAGATAAGTTATGAAGCACAGGGACAGCTGTTTTGGGACGTGTCAGACTTGCTCTTCATTCAGACATTGCTCACCACCACATCTGCTGCAAGTTGAAGATTTCTGCTTTCTGCATATCCCCATACGTTTCTGGCCAGGTGATCCTGGCCAGATACACACCAGCAAATCTACATCCTTTCAGAGAGACCAATAAACACATTTATTAAACAACATTGTTGGAGGCTCTGTGTCCTGGGAAGACAAGCAGGCAATTTCACAATCTAAAGAGTATTTTTGTTGGAGATCCTTACAGCTGTACAAACCCCCCATATCTGGGGTGAAGTCTTGAGGGAAGGGAGAGCCAGTTGTGAAAGTGTTTCTAATGCTCTTTCCTACCCCTCCTCCTCTACGTTCCCCTAGTCAGTCAAGCACACACAGAAGAAAAAACATGCACTGAAATTTTCTTTCCCTTAAGCCTCCCAACATAAACAGCTCTTACTCGGGGGATGCCACCAATAGTGTGTAACCTTAACAACTCATGGATGACCACAGAAGTTGTTTTAACCACAGTTTGATGCCTTCAGAACACAAAATGCTCTAAACAAAAAGTTCAAGTGACTCTCTGGTATTCCACAAATGCTAGATACAATTAATTAGGACTAGTTTCTAGAACATTTCCTACAGACACAATGAATGAAGAGTCTGAGTTTAGACAGCAGGCAAACTAGCACCACAGTGGATTGAAGAAATACAAAGAAATGAAATCCAGTAGCATTTAACTTTGTATTGCTAGCCACAAGGAGATTGCTGGCCAACTTAGAAAACATTTATTCTCTTAATCTTCTTAGTGTGCTGCAGAAAATACTAAATCAAAAAGGGAACTAATAAATACCAAATAAAATTATTCTCCACCAGTCTAACAAAAATGCCTTTACTAACCAAAAGACAGCAGCTTGACAAACAGAGTATCACACTTTTAAATAACAGATTCTTTATTCAAGTGCTCATCTGAAAGATTAAACCTCCTTCTTCTTACTGACATTAATCCTAGCTTGACTGGAACAAGAAGATAATTCCCACCCTACAACTAATTTGCTGTCAGCAAGGCAGATTGGTCACCCAGCATGTGGTTTGGAAACCTGGGGGAATTCAGAGAGGCCAGCATTAGCCTAGGGAGGATAATTGTCTTAGGCTCACCTGGTGGCCAGTGGAGAGACACAGGATCCCTCACAGAGGAACACAGAGTGGCCAAATTAGGTTCCTGCTCTGAACAACCCTACACAGGTAGCTATTTTTTCTATTGTCTGATTCACTCACTAAGCCAGAAACACCCTTCAGGCAACAGAGATGTTCCCTCTTTGGACCAGAATACACTGTATTTACACATTACAAGGCACATTTGTTATTTTGCCTATCGGCAGATTTTAGGACATGAATCTCTCTTCCTCCTTTTTCCCTTCACTCCTCGCTTCAGTTTAAGACTGGCTCCTCAGACAACTGAAAAGAACAGACAGTCTGGACACTAGCCTTCAAAACACAGCATACTTGTATCAACAAGTACATAGAAATAAGTTTCCTTACTGTTGTATTACTTCTGAAATGTTGGTATCACAATTACAGTCTAAAGCAAAATTCTATTTCAGTGTTTTATATCAGATGTGGAAACAAAATACACGCAAGAACCATTAAGTACATTGAGTCATAATGCAGCCCTGTCACCTGCCCGAGCCCTAATCCTGCCAAACCAGTCACAGGCACCATCTCCAAGTGCCTCCAAGCCATAGGTTCCTACTCCAAACCAGGACAAGGGTCCATGCAGCAGCGTACTGAGCCAAGCTGGGAGATGGATCCAGATGGGCAGTAACTCAGGAGAAGGGAAGAAACTGAGGGATGTGAAAATGGTGAAGTTCAGCTTAGTAATCAAATATCAGCACACTAGCAGCTCCAAGAGATGAGCTGGCAGTTGGAACAGGGCTGGGTCACTTTGGGCACAGGTATGACTCCAGTCCAGTTCAGATAGGCTCTGAAAGCACAGCCATAGGGAAGTCCCAGAAACAGGCAAGACAGCAGCTCCCCCTTACAGTCAGGCACCAAGAGGCTTTGGTATTCTCCACAGCGGCTCCATCAGCTGCAGATGGGATTATACCAAGAGAAAAAAAAGAGATACCTTACAGTTGTATTAATATTTATTCCTGACTTCCCATTCACTGACATTGCTATGTCAATATGAGCGGCTTTAAACCGATACGCCAATTCCACTACTACAACAATTGAACTGTGCTAAGTACATGTCTTGGATTAGAAACACTTCAACATTTCTGTACACATATAGCCAGGAAAGGCAAAGCTTGAATAAAATGAAGAATCACCTACAATCGCTCCTTTTTGATGTCAATTTTTCTCAAGCACATATCTGAGCAAATGGAGGAAAAAAAAACCTAACATCTTGCATAAAACACTGACACATGCAAGACGACATTTTCATGTACATTCATTCCTTCAGTGCAGACTAAAACAGCATGCACTATCTTATTGTATTGAATACAATCAGTCACTACTACAAGCAGGAAAGAAATTTCCTCTAGCCATAAATCGAGTACCTATGTGTCTGTCTAGTGTAAGGACAAGAAGATTTTTCTTTGAGTGAAGGTGTGCAAAACATTGAATATTGGGTCTCCATGAAAAAGTCAAAAAAATTAACACTTACCAGGATTTATCAGCATATCTGACTGATGCTGCATTACAAAGGAAAAGGCAGAAAGGAATTGAAGTGACCTAACCATAAGGCATGAAGTTTAGTCAGTTTATCTCATAATAAAAATAAATTAAAATTTGATAACATGTAAGGGCAAGAAGACATGGAGTTTTAACCAGACAAGTACAAATAGAGCTATGGTCCTTCAAAAGCACACTCCAGCATTTCTCAGCCTGGCATGAAGGGCAGAAGTCACATTTGTGATTTAAACAAAGACCTCAACATTTCCTCAATCATTTAACAGACTTTTTAGTCTCATATCCCTTCATTATCCATACACTTAGTATTCAAAATTAAGGGTCTCTTTGCAGGATGGCATCCAGAGTAGGTTTCAGATCAGAGAGATCCGTAACTATATCCTGTCTTTCCACAATTCAGTTGTGCATTCCTCCTGCCACTCATGCATTCACCAGTGATTAAGATGATGAATAAATCATACTCATGTACTTATACTCTGAGGCAAACCAGCATTTAAAATTACCTCTGTATGAGGATCTGCACATGACTACACCAAACCTTGCCACACCAAATAAATTTTGTCTCACTGGCCCTAATAAATATCTCTAAAAATGAACCAAGAGCTGCATTCTGAATCCACTTACAAACAGCAAACACTTCTCACAACATTTTAAATGGGCTGTGGAACTCAAGCCTCAACCAATGGATCAGGAATAATGAAGATGATGCCACTAATAGAAGGCTCAAAGAGAAAACCTAATTTAAGTCTCAGTCAGCCTCCAAGGTGTAACTATGCAGCCAGCTTCAGGTACCAAAGAGATACACAGCCACATGACAGAAGGCTCTTCACTGCATATCAATAAGGATTTTTGGGGGCAGAAAATGACAAAAAATTTACTTCAACCCACAAGCTTGAAAGTGATCAGCCCAATTTCTACATCCTTCCATTCTAGTTCTCCAATTACAGCAAAGAAAGGTAACCTCTGTTGTTTTTTGGTGTTTTTTGTAAGAAAAGAAAAAATTATAATGGTGTTTCCAGAAAGAAAAGTAACACTGCTACACAGACACCTGATATAATGAGACATCTATCATAAACTTCTGTTTTTGTAGCAGTAGTAATTCCTTGACTTTTAAGTACCTTAGACTTCCCAAATACACTTGTGGACATTTTCCTCTTTTTTTCTTCTCCTGCACAATTTAAATATTACATTGAATAGATTTAATGGCCTTGTTCTGAAAAGCTTTGTTGGTTTGTTTGGTTTTTTTTAGCTGGACAACAAAAAGTAAGACAAAGTCTGAAAAAAAAAAAAAAAATGAAGTCTTTGCAGTAAAAGATGCACCCTCAGTTTTCAAACTTTCTAGACCATGGATCACTATGAAAATCTAACAAACCTTCTGATGCCCTTCACTGTCAAATTTTTGACTAAAAATAACAAAGAATACAATTTGGATCCTCGGATCAGTGAAGATCTATTTATTATGGCATGATTTACACAACACAGTTTGGAAAATACTGAACCTACAATGTTCACTACTTGGATTAATACCGGAGAAAGTGAAATCAGTTCCACCTAAACTAGCCAGGCTCTTCGTTGTGACCACTCAGTTCAACTGCAGCTTCAGGAATAAATTCACCTCTGAATAGTCCAGCAAAGTAATGCTGCTGCTCTTTTTTTTACCCAAGTGGATCTATGGGTAATTGGACCAAATGCCTCTGCCCCTGTACTGGCCTTGCTGCTCCCTGTGAGAAGGAGGGACAGCTCCAGGCTCTTTGGGACCCATGCTTGGCTCACAACCCCATCTATAAGTTGTAGAAGGCTAAGAAGGGCTCCTCTCCTTGGTCATTTAAGCCTTTTAAAATATTTGTTCCTTGGTGCCCAGCTAAAAACTGCTATTATGACTCCCACTGACTCTCACAAACCCTCTCAGATAAACTAAAAGCTCCAAATAACTCCATTAAATAGGTTGATCCCTGGAACTTAAATTGATTTACATTCCTTTACATATGAGGATTAAAAAAGGGGGACTGAAGACAGGAAGCAGCTCTTCTTTGATACAATGTCAGAGAAAAAAGCAGTGTCCAAAGCTGCAGTAACATATAGCATTCTGGAGAAGTCAAACCTAAAGACACGAGTTTTCCAAGAGGAAAACATAGCATGGCACTTGATTAAAAAAAAAAAAAAAACCAAAAACAAAAACATGCACATGAGTGGTCAAGTTCACATCATCCCATACCACTGGGGAAAGGATAAAAGCGACATCTTTTTCATTTTAACAATACACTAGGAATATTGCCAAGGTACTGAAGTATGGGAAGACAAGGAAAGGAGTATGTATTTAGATGAAAAATAGAAAAATCTACTAATCTCCTATTACTTAGAACAAGGGTCTTTACATTTCAGGATATAAACACTAGAAGCTACAATACTGACCATTTTGGCTTTTTTTTTAATTATATATAGTGCTTTGGAGGAGCAATCCTTTATTTGTAATTAGAATATTCGCCCTTTTTCCATTGCATTCTAACAAACAAGTTCTCATTTCTACCATAAGCATTTCAATGGAGAATAAAGATGCATCCCTACTACTTCTAGCACAAACAAGCCTGATGAGAGCATCATGGTTTCATTGAAACAACCTTGTATTGGCCTCCAGTGGAACAAGGTTACTAAAACAGAGGAGCAATTCCTATGTTTTAGCATCTGTTCCCCTTAAAATCTAAGTATAATTCAGTACAGACTATAAAACAGCATATGAAGTCTCCTTCAAATGTGTAAACATTTTTTTGTTATCAACTGAAATCTGTTCATTGACTGCCATTGGGTTTATATTGGCTCCCTCTTCTGGCTGACATGCACAAAGTGCAGTGTAGTTGAGATTTTTTTCTCTTTTCCATAAATTATGGATCTGCACCAAAGGCAATGGCATACCACGGAAATAATTTCTCTTATAATCCACCCAGGAAAACTGGCCAGTTCAAATCTGACCACAGCAGTATCAACATTGCCAATCCAAAATACTAACCAAAAGAAAAAAAAAGCCATACATCATAGAAGAAAATTTAAACACCAATTAGAAGAAAATCAGGAATGCTGGAGGAAGCAAGTACAAAAGGATATCATCCGGGGGTGCTGTTTAAGAAGAATGGCTCATTTTATGTTCAGAATTCTGAAGTAGATTTGGGAAGCTATTTTTGGTTTTAACTATTTATATCACTTAGTTTCTAACAGTTCTTCTATTACATTCAGAAAATAATCACCTAAAATATTTTTAAATATATTGAAAAATGTCTAAATTATTTTCAGATGCTCTTTGATAGCAGTCCAAGGACATTTTTTAAAAGTTCATGAGAAATTTAAGCATGAATTATTCTAAATTTTAGCAAAGAGTTAGTCTCCGAGATGGGAATTCCTGTAGTACTTTAATATTTACACTCATACTAAGCTGCAGAAATGCATCAGTTACCTGCCCATCTTTGAATTATAGATTACTTCTCTCTTTAAAAAGTAATCAACCAACCATCATGAAAAAATATATAAGCAAAAAACCAAATTGGTCACAAATATATCAGAAAAAATACTGTAAAGCTGCCAAACCCAGTTTGTTTTTCCAGATCTTGATTCAACATACTGACTTTAACTTTGATATAAAGAATTATGCTGAAGGATTCCATCACAGGACAGGAGTTTTAACCTAGTCATGACTACAGAATTAGGTATTCGTAAAGGAGACTCACCTTTGTACCCCTACATCTTTTGTATCCTGCCTAAAACTTCAGCTGAAGATGAATTGACTTTTCCCCCACAACTCCTAAACTGAGATCAAACACCAAATTCCTCTAAATCCAACTTCTTATAAGATCATTCTAGGCCTTTGTTTTTCTTCTGACATCTTCTTAGGTCTGTGGTCACTTAGACTGAGAAGACAGTGAATAACAAATGTAAAAAGCAAAAGAACAAATTAGAGCAGCAAACTGACAACAGCATGTAAAATTACTGTATTGGCCATAACATGAAATGTACCCAGGGTTTGTAGCTAAGAGCTAACAGTTTTTCCCTTGGTTCCAAAGACTCTGATCTTTGGTACTTGTGCAAATTTCCTCTCACCAGAGACTGTAGCCTGGTTAGGAATGAAAAGTGTGAGACAAGGGTAACAGGCTCTGACAGTCACACATTTCTGCTCAGTGGGTTACAGCTTAAACTTGAGTATAAATAAATGAATATCAGAGTATTTCTCTCATGTAGTATTACCTCTATTTAGTCTTTGTTCCGCTCAAACAGTTCCTTCTGGAATTATTTAAATGTGGATTATTCTGAACAGGCAACCAGAATACAAAACACAGAAACAGTCCCCAGTGAAATTTCAGAATTGCACATTCATTTTTTCCACAAGCTCTTGTGATTAAGACTGTAAAAAGGGGTATATATTGAAACACAAACTGAAGCAAAAAAGAACACATCAGATCATGCTCAGGTTTATAATTTTTTATGTTGCCCAATAAACAACACTTGTACTCATCATACACCACACCACTATTCTTTCTTCATCAGTATAGAATGCTCCTCAATAACCTCTCAATCATTTTCTTGGGGAAAAAGAAAGGAGAGAAAAGAAATAATCTCAACTGCAATGAATTAGATTGTTGAACACTGTATATTTCTAGATAGAACACATCAGTGAAAACATTTCTGCAACTCTGTTCCCAGTTACTCAAATCCTATTATTCAATTTGTAGAGCAGAAAGAAATAGTTTATCATTAGGACCAAAATTTCCTAAGGGGTATATTCATAAACAAGTAGTTCAATGATTAGATCAATCACACCCAAGGTTGCAGAAATTTCATCCTGCAATAACGCTGATGTTGTAATTTTGTGGCAAGTAAAATATTTCCATCTGAATGACTGAACTTCTGCACAAGTAAAAAAAAAATTGTGATGAACAAAAACAGTTAAGAAATTGTGTTTTCTTAATATAGTATTGTATACCATATACCCTGATTATATTTATAAAAAGACCTATGGGAAAAGAATAGCAAACCAACGAGGCTGGGTAAGTCTGCAGTATGTCCATTTTGTGGTTACCCAAAAAGCAGCTGCAGGCTGGGTTCAGCACCACCCAGCTCCCAGCACAGGCAGGTTTGAGCTCACAGCAGAACAGGTAGCAGCCACACAGGGTGGCAAAGTGCAGCGCAGGCAGCACCAGCCCCTGCCATCAGAGAGAAAAGCAGTGCTCTGTGATTACCTTAGTTTTCCCTCAGGCATCCAAAGGCATCAGGCTTCTCTGCCAAGCTCCTGTCACCCGCTGGCAAGCACATTAAAAATGGTCTACATCTCAGTATTATTAGAATAAGCTAGTTTTAGTTATAGAACTGTGAATTTGGCAGTATTGCTACAAGCATACACAAATTATACAAATCAATTACTATTTGGAAAACAAACTGGCTTATATTTACCACTGATCAATGATGCAGCAGAGTACTTAATGACACCCAGGCATTTGCAGAACATGCACGCTGTGCCAACAAAACATATAAACTTAAGAGTCTGGGACATCAACCTAGAGCTCTTCAGCTGATGCCTCTGGACTCTGATGGGTTTGGTGTGTATGCACACCACACACACAAATATTGGCTGCAATAGATGAATCCTTCAGTGCAGCTTTAGGATGAGTTGAAGATGGAACAATTCCCTAGAAAATGACATTCATTTATTGCAATTTGGCACTATTAAAAGAAAAAGAAAAAAGAAAAGTACAGTGAAAACTGTACTTTGGAAGTAGCTGTAACAACTGGCACCCAAGGAGTCCTTCAAGAATCAATTTGATGGAGTTTTTGGTAAAGTGATCTCACCAGAAGTGAGTCGTGACAGAAACAGAATTGAGTTGTGCAGATCATTAACTGCACAAGTTGTTTCATTTCAGATTATACTTCACTATGCCAGCTTTCAATAATATTGTCCTTCCATTTTTTCACATTTTCCTAGGGAATTTTATAGTTGTTTTCAAAATCAACACTTTCCATCCACATTCTTTGCAAATTAGAAATATTGCTGTATGATAAATCACTCGATTTTTATCAACATGCAGCATATCATTGTTGCTGTAACATGCTTACATGCACAAACCTTGTTATGTGGCTGAACTTTGCTTGCAGCAAACACAAGACCAGACTTACCCCAAATGCCTTTCACCCCAGCTAGAGAATTCCTACCTCGTGGCAGGAGAAGAGGCGCACTCCCTCCATCTGATGGAAGACGGGGTAGTGGGTGCTATCAATGGTGTCCCGGCGGTAGACATCTCCCACGGCCAGAAAGGCGTCCAGGCCAGAGTGGATCAAGTCCCACTGGTGGGCTGATGTGTGTGCTCGTAGCATGTGGTCACGGTTCAAGTAGTAGTTATCCTCTTTCCTTCTGCTGGCATGGTTTTGTGGAATAAGTAAACTATCAAAATTCTGCTGGACTGTAACCACTGGAGAAAGACCGTCGTACACAGAAAAGAGCGGAGTCCCACGGCGTCCCAGGTAATGTTTGTAGAAGTGCTCCTTCACCTGCTCCTTGATTAGCCACAAAGGGTGATGTTTTCTGTTGTGCAAGTTCTTCCCCACCTTGGAAAGAATCTTCTCTGTGACATTGGTGTAGTCATCTTGAGGATAGGATTTACCAAGCAGTTCCACCGTATTTGAGCAGGGTGCGCTGGCACCAAAATCTGAAGGTACAGACTTGGATGAAGAATGCCTTGAATGGGTGGGAATTCCTCTTACTTTTACTTTTGATGATAAAGCTGTTGTTTTAGAATACTTAGCTACTCTCATGAATTTCCAGAGCATTGCCATTGTAAACTTTATGATCTAGAGAAAGAAAAAGAATTAAAAATATTTGAGTTAGGAACTGCAATGTTGCTGCAGGAATTGCTATTATCTTAGGGATGGATAAATCCAAATGTCTGCTTGATTAGCATGACAAAGTTCCCATTATAAACCACTCTTTTGACTTCAGAGGATGGAAAATACCCTTGTGGTCAAATTTCAGCTTGGATATTTTAATCAGTTATCAGGCTTCTGCATGACTGCACCAGTAATAACAACTCTAGACCTAGCCTGAACCCCATTCCAGATGATGCCCTTTAAAGATGAATAAACACCAGGCCTTCTTTGAAACAATATTTTTGCTCCAATTAAAACATGTGGCAATAAATTCATATTACTTAAGAGAAACTAGGAAATTTAACAGTGCCCTTCAGCAGTCAGAACTGGCTTACAACAAGCAATTAACTTATTGCTATATCATCTCCATTAGCAGAAGCTGCAGAACGTGTTCCACATCTACCTGATGCATGTGGCATGCACTATGCAATCATCACTAATTCTTATTTAATGCCAGACAAAACCAGTTTAACCTTTCAAACTACTGAACCACTGAGAAAAAACAGATGGCCAGACAAGACATATATTTATATATAAACAGCTTATTAAATTCTCATATGAGTATTGCACAAGATTCACCATAAAGACTGCATAAAGTCAGAAGCACTGTTAGAATTTTGCAGTGATCACAATGTTTCCATATGTTCCCCAGGATGGCTGTTTACACAGCTTCCACGGCTGTACAGGGGAGGCAGGCTTGTCAGATACCAGGAAGGCAAAGTGATGAGATTCTTCAAGTTGCCTGAAGAACTCGTTTCCCATCAAAGGGCCATCTTTACACATCCTCCCAGTTCACAGACAGGCCTTGTGCTTCATGTGGACACAACTGCATTCTCTGTAGAGCTCGAAGATAATTCCAAAACCAAAGAGTTTTGAGAGTGATGAACCTTTCAGTCACTCCATATGCATAAGCCCATTCTGAGATGAAAAATTACTTGAAGATCTATAGATGGGCTTCAGAAATATTAGCAAAGGTCCCAGTAAAATAATTAAGCATTAAAATTTGCTTATTATGGAACGGCATTAAGCAGAAGCATTACAAGTTAAGTGACCAGGGAAAGGCATCTGCTACAAACTGGCTTGTACTTCTCTATGAACCAAGAATTACAGGGCCACAGGTTTTCTGAGCGAAAGATTTTCTGCAAAAGTCATCTTAAAGAATTAGGGGAAGAAAGGACATAAGCAATAATAAATGCGCCACAGTCTTCAAGGGATGCAGTATTTAGGATTACAGTATCTGGCTAGCCTTCCACAGGAACATAAGGAAAACAAGTGTAAGTAACAAAATAAACAAGGTGAGACTATTTTTCATACTCTCATGCTTCAAAATACGTATGCAAATGAACAGACATAATAAAATAAAGAATCCCAGATAAAAACAAATCTGTAAAAGATAATGAGTGTGGTTAAATTTGGCTTTCTTTCTTCTGGCTTGTATCTAGAAGTTTTCCATAGGTCTTTTTCCTCAAGTCATTATATCTCAATTAATCAAAATAAAGGCAAGTTGGGTAGACCGAAATTAATCCTGGTGGGGAAGCATAAGATTACTGAATATTTGGTTTAATCCTTTTTCTGGTAGAATATCTTTAGAAATAAGTAACAGCTATAAATTTTATCTAGTTTTGAAACTTTTAAGAATGACTGCCTTTGGCAGGGAGGCAGTAAAGAGTTTACAAAGCTATTTCATCAAATTAGCTCTTGATCATTACTGAGAATGTTCTTCAATAAATGAATTCACACACATATCAGAAACCACTCTGATAGAGGCTAAGCAAGGAATGGTCTTACATTTTGAAAAGAGACCCCATTTTCCTGAAACATACGTTCTCCTTCATGGAAAGTGAGTTCTCATTTTCAAACAGCTGCTTGAAATACCCAGTCCTAGTCAGATAATGAATTCAGCTTCCCTTAAGTAAATATCACCATCTGCCCATACATTTATTTTTCTAAAAACTTCAATTCAAAACTTACACATAACCGTAATTTACAAAAACTCCCATAACTTTATCGTGATTCTTGTGATGTTTGCTGCTTTCTTAAATATCATTCCTCTGAGAATCAGACAACCTCACGAGAAGCTTAACTTTCACATAAACAGTTTTGATGATTATAAATTTACGGAAAAAGAAATAAGAACATGCACCACCAGTACTGGGGAGGCACACTCTTGTTTGTTTGTTTAAGACTCATTATTTTTAAGGGAGAGTCTATAATATACATCTTCAAGGGCTTACCTGATTATGCTTCAGTATTTGTAATGAGGAAGGCTGCTATCAGTTTCTGACAGAAACACTCTTTTTTCTAAGCAAGTGATATATACTCCTAACAAACCTGTACAGGGGAAAAACCTACAGATGAACTTTTATCAGAGTTTTTATCTTAACATTATGCCTGTGCCTTAAATAGTTGAATGGTATTATTATGTGCATTAATATTCTAATCCAAAGTAAAAATTGAGCAGTAAGTAACGTGAACAATAAGAAAAGTTACAGTTTTTAGATGAGTTATCCAATGTCCAGGTACTGCAAACAACAGCAAGCAAGCACTAAATGTGCCCCTAACATGGTATCACAACCAGAGTTCTAGAAACACTCAAGTCCTACAACAACATTCTGCTAGTTCCCTCTCCCACCACAGTGTCACGTATTCCTCTTTCAGAAAAATGGTATTGGACTTAGTTCAACTCATCTGGTGATAAGTTACATTTGGGCAGAGAAACCACAGAGAAGAAAGTAAAATATGTTTACACTCTGCAGACTGTACACAAAATCTTCAAACCAAAGTAATGTTTACCAAGGCAGAGAGCAACACTGGAAAATAAAGACATCTCTTTACCTTTTTCTAGTAATAAATACCTGGTGTTAAGAACACACTAATTACTTATGTTCTCTTATAATAAACAGAAATTTATGCATTTATGCTTATTTATGTCTGTCTATGTTTATGTAAACATCTGGAAAAGTAGTTTAAATGGATCATTTTCTTCCTTTATTTCCACCATGCTTTTCATTTGGCAGGGAAGCAAAACTGTTTTCTGTGCACGCTGACAAAACCTGAATCCCACAGCAAGGCCTGCCAGCCAGCTAACAAGAGCAGCGAGCCAAACAGCAGCTGCAGGTCCTGTAGCTGAAAACAAATACAGAAACGGGAAATAGACATCGAACAACCACCACTGGCATCTACCATCCAAAGATGACAAAGCCCTCCACCAGCATCACCAGCAAGTCCTGCACTCTGGGTTTGACAGTGGCTCTGGCTCACAGCTGGGAGCCAACACAGGGCTCTGGATGAAGATGTAGGGCTTTGGAAGCTGTTCTGCTGGCAGCACTCCGTGGGGTCTCTCAAAGCTCTGCAGGTGGACATGCAAGCACCAGGCCCAGCACCTCCTATTTCACACATCCTCAGCCAGCCAGCACCATGGACACCTTTCAGGGTACCTCAGCAGCTCCATGGCTCAGGTGGCTGGACCTCGTCTCAATACTGAGATGTCTACTACAACTCTAGTCTTGGATAGGAACGACATCATACATTACTTGGAACTACGCTTGCACCTAGCTCATGCTTTTAAGCAGCTCCAAGGCAGACCAGAGGAAAGGAGGTGGCATCCACACCACCCAGGGGTGAAAAGGCATAAGAACAACCCTGTCCAGGCTGTGCATAGACCAGGCACAGATGTGACCACACCTGCCAACACCAGTCCTGTATCACAGACCCCGTGACATTTCTACAGCAGTTTCAATTGATGGCCAAGGCTCCTTCCTCCTGCACAGAAAACCAACCATTCCCCATGCAGCAGCCCAGCAGACATTACACATGCTAAATTACACCACAGTCAGGAGCCTGACAACAGGGAAACAGCAGACAGAATACATCAGACAAAAAATACCATGGTTTTGGAGCACATGCAAAAGGCAGTTTGATTTGATAAGGGATCATACTGTTGTACTGTTAAGGGATGTCCTTTCATGTCTAAATCCAGGTTTCCATGTCATAGTGCAGCAAGGATTAAGACAGCATTATCACAGCTGCAGTGGTATTTGTCACAATTCTCCACTACCCAGCTGAGGCTTAGGAAAGAATCGTAGACTCAGTGAAATTCCTCCTTACACCTGCTTTGAAAAAGGAGGAGAAAAGAGGGGCAGTTTAGCAGCCCACAATGAAAGGAGACAGTGCTGTGCACCAATGTTGTTTTATTCACTCACCTCTCCTGGAAAAGTGGAAGGGGAACAACGCTCCTGTTTGAGCAAACCAGAGCCCACAGGGGCCAGCTTGTGGGGCCGTTTGCTCGGTGTTTGCATCTGTGAGCCAAGGGCACCCTCGCTCCTGCTGACCGCGATTCTCTCTGCCCTGTGCTTTTTACAGCTTCTGGCTGCAGAAACACAGATGGGCTACTGCATACATAAACCCAAGTACATGACGGGTTTGAAACCAAAATTCTACAAAGATGAGAGTCTGTCTCCTATCCAAGAATAGCTAATTAATGCAAGACTCTGAAGTGCCATGGAAAATGTTAGAAAAGTTGGGCTGCCACCATTTTGTGATGTGACAGCTTTTATCTACCGTATGTGTGGGGAGGGGAGTTCAACCAACATAGCATATGTTAAAACAAAAATTATAAACATATGTTAGGCTGCTAAAATTGGACATTTACCAGTCTGCTTAGCAATTTAGCTAAGCATTGAATTTTAGTTTTGAAAACTATGTAGGCATACAGCAGCAAATATCATTGTATTGCCATGACCATATCTGCCTTTCATAGGATATAACATAAATTGTTTTGCATGCAAAACTAATAACAAGCTCAGATTTTTAATGCTCATTTTAAAATGATGATACATTATTGCACACCAGAACAGACTTCTACTGAGCATGCTGGATTTATATAACACACTCAGACTTCTGAAATAGCCTTGCAGATAAATTAG